GAGTTTCGTTTTTAAAAAAAAAAAGCAAAAAAGTGAAACTGCTAGTTAGCTTGTTAATAAGATTCCAAAAGTGGATGGTTAAGAGGAACGAAATGACTGTTCAAGGTAAGAAAGAGGCGTGAATTTCAACTTGCTGAGCTTTGTAATGAGTTTATCTATCAAAGCTTCAGGGTTCTAATTTGGCTAAGTATCTACTGATTTACATAACTGTAGATGCTACAGAAAGGCTTTTTAGCGAGTATTTCAAGGATAAGCGACTTGTGCAATGTGACTATCCTGTGTAACTTTGGAGTATTTAAGTCTCAGATGAGTTTGATGGAAATAAAAGACTGTAAGAGATTCTGCTCCTACAAGTCTTCTGTGGTTTAACCCTGGACGGCAGCTCAGCCCTGCGCAGCTGCTCGGTCACTCACCCCTGGTGGGACAGGGAGGGAGTCAAAAGGGCAAAAGTGAGAAAACTGGTAGGTTGAGATAAAGGCAGTTAAATAGGCGAAGCAAAAGCTGTGATGCAAGCAAAGCAAAATGGGGAATTAATTTGTTACTTCCCATTGGCAGGCAGGTGTTTAGCTATCTGCGGGAAAACAGGGCTGTATCATGCATAACGGTGACTTGGGAAGACAAATGTCATCACTCCGCATGTCTCCCCCTTCCTTCTTCTTCCCCCAGCTTCACTTTGCTGAGCCTGATGCCATACGGTGTGGGATATCCCTGGGGTCAGTCGGGGTCAGCTGTCCCGGCCGTGTCCCCCCCAGCTTCTCGTGCCCCCCAGCCTGCTCGCTGCTGGGCTGGGTGAGCAGCAGCAAAGCCCTTGGCTCTGCGGGAGCGCTGCTCAGCCGTAAGGAAAGCATCCCTGTGTTATCAACGCTGTTTGCAGGACAGATCTCAAATGTAGCCTCATACAAACTACTACAAAGACATTCAACTCTCTTCTAGGCAACACCAGCACAAAGTCCCAAGTCTGGGAAAGGGGATGGAGGTAGTTTGATTCTAACGGTACAGTACACAATGAAAAGGCTGTGTGCATTTTGAGGAGAAAATAGCATCTTGTTAGCTCTTTGTGGCAATGTCTGAGAGTAAGAGATGAGTCTTGGCTGTGAGGCTCACAGATGTGGTGCCCAATTGATTTACACTCAGCAGCGAGGCTGTGGGATGTTCTTGCCAAGTTGATGTGGGCCAGTACAGGCTGGATAAATGCAGTGCCGCTGTCATCATGCGAAATGATACTTTTCTTCGCTTTGCATATGACTCTTCAGAACTGCAGTTAATCCCATGTGGTGCTTCAGGACATGGTTTCACAGAATCATAGAATCGTTTAGGTTGGAAAAGACCTTTAAGATCATCCAGCCCAACCACTAATCTACACTACCAAGTCCACACTAAACCAGTCAAGGGTAGACCAGACTGAACCATGTCCCCAAGTGCCACCTCTGCCCGTTTTTTGAACGCTTCCAGGGATGGTGACTCCACCACCTCTCTGGGCAGCCTGTTCCAATTCTTGACCACCCTTTCTGTAAAGAAATTTTTCCTAATTTCCAACCTAAACCTCCCCTGGCACAGCTTGAGGCCATTTCCTCTCATCCTATCGCTAACTATGTGGGAGAAGAGACCAACACCCACATCACTACAACCTCTAGTCTTAGTCTAGTCTACCCTTGATTGGTTTAGTGTGGACTTGGTAGTGTAGGTTAATGGTTGGACTGGGTGATCTTAAAGGTCTTTTCAAACCTAAATGATCCTATGATTCTGTGATTCTATGATTCAGGTCTCGAGTGCTGACTGTGGTATCGGCCCTATGGTTTCCTTAGTTGCTTTTTCTGGGCCTCTGAATTTACATTTGAGTTAATTCTTGAGGATGTGGCACAAAGGAGAAAAAATGGGATTGTGGCTTTACACTCTGCTATGCCTGGTTGCTTTAACCTTATGTACTGTTGTCTTGAATATGTTAATGGTAATTTTTAGATAGTATCTAAAATTATTTACTGATAAGTAAGCTGAAGGGCTTGCTATACTTAAATACTGGAACGGCTAAGGGCAGTGAGGTTCATGTAATTATAGTCCCAAACGTGTTGACAGCCTGAGCACATAAGCTGTTTTATTACATTTGGCCACTGTGCCTTTTCTGGCATTTTTCAAACAAAGGTACTGTAAATTTTGGTGCCCTTGTCAATAAGACCACCCAAAGTTATGTTGCTTTTTGATGGAAAGGCCTCCAAGCAAGCTGTCGCTCGTTGCCCCGTAGGTGAAGGATATGTGGTAGTCAGCTAGTGCCTGCATACTTGTTTGGGGCCCAACTGCAGCACGCTGTGGTATTTCTTGTGTGTGGGAAGATGGGGAGGTACTTGTGGGATACTGTGGGGGAGTTGTGACTTGACCGTATTAGGAATTCAAGGCGGCAATCAGAATTGTCATGATGGGTGATAAAGAATTGGAAGTGGGTAGAGAAGATAGCGGCTTAACATCTGGAACTTCCTTGGCAACTTTATGTGCCATAGCTTACGATGGTTTTGTTTTTAAGCTTTTTTGGATGCATTGTGTTACGGAAAACAGAGTGTATTTTCTGTCTTCAGTGATGTGAGATAATAGAAAATCTTTTCAGCTTTTGAAAATGTTGGTGAAATGCCAGCTCCTACGCTGACGGATGTGGGAAGCGTAGTTCTGTGCGGCCTGCAATCTTGAGTCTCTGGGCGAAGCAGCTACTCATTATTTCTGGTTGTGTTTCTGTACAGGACGAGGCCATAGCTGTACCCACCTCCTTGCCCTGCCCACGGCCAGCAGTGTTCAGTCAGAGTTTTCATGAATGTTTGCAGCGCTCCCTATTGCTTGCTTCGGTGCATTCAGTGAGAAGTTTAACATCAGAAATGAATTAAAAGGTTTAAACTGTAATGGTTCGGGGTTTTGCTGGATAAAGATTCCCAGAACATTGGTGGCTATTAATTTTCCTGTAAATATTAATATACTTACTCAGGTTTTGTTCAGAGTTATGCCACTTGGCTCTTTGATGCAAAGACTTCTATAGTGGTGGTATTTACTAATGGAAAACCATTCCAGGTCACTTATCTACTCCTTGGCCAAGCGGGGAATAGGTCTGCTTTTATGGCTCTTTCAGGATTCAAGTATTAGTTAATATTGCCACCTAACGGCAAGAAGAGCAGTTGTCTGAGCATTTAGATTGTTTTTGCTACTTTATAGCGATTGTTTTTACCCAGTGCTGTCTGCTCTGGTTACATAAAAACGATTCTCAGGGAACTTTGAAATCTTGCATTTTGTTTTTGTCCTCCTAGTTATAGAAAATATAAAGGCTATAAAACTGGTTAAAAAGACAAGAAGTGATTTTGGTCTTCTAATCGCTAGACTTTTGTGCTTTACCTGAGTATTGCTTTATATTTTTGGCCAAGTATTGGTGCTTAAAAAAGAAGCCTCTTGTTATTGAGAGGATAGTACAAAAAATATTCCACTAACGAAGGTCTGCACATCTCTTCTATGTAATTCCCCAGGCTGGTATTCGGGGAGCCCTATAGGATCATTTCAGCCCCAGCTGGAGCTTGGCATTAGAACTTGAGTAACTTAAGAGCCGGTGTCCTGTTAATGTTTTGGGAAGGCCCTATGTAAACTAGGTGAAGTATAATAATTCTGCAGAACTTAGGCTGTTGTATTAAAATTGGCAGTAATTCTGTTTTGACAGCGTAGCATTCTCATTCGGCTAAATGAGCAATTAACTTAAAAAATAATAGCTATTTAATCTTCAAGAAAATTTCCTAATGAAACTTAACTTCTTCAATTGTAAATTATCATGTGCGTGTTTGTTCAAGCACATGAGACTTTATCAAATGAGGTGCATTATTCTTAATAAACGCTGCTTGCAGATTATATCAGGGAACATGGAACGCGTGCATTTCGATTGGCTGCCTGATTATCAGAGTAGTTAATCTTTTTACTTTACGTATTTCTGTCCTGATCGTATACCTGATTTTTTTGCACTAGTTGAAAGTTCCCATGGTAATAGCTGGCTTACCATCAGACAGCAGTTAATTAAGGGAAGCCTGGACTGACACGAGCTCTTCTATGAGGCACATTTCCTAAAACTGTGGGAAAGCTGTGCATGTCAACCTGGAGGTGATGCTAATGTAATCCGCTTGAGGCTTGAGCAGTAGTTAAGACTAATAGAAGACAGATAAAACAGGAGAGCGGTGTTTTTTCCCTTTGGTTTGCCTGAGCGTTTGGAAGTACTTTGTGTAGGCTGTTTTGCTTTGCTTCCGTGTGTAATTCCTGTGAAGAGAAAAAGAAAAACCTCATGCTGGGAAACGGGGAGGTGGGCTCGAGTATATGGCTCGCAGCTCATGCTGCTGTTGGACTGAGAATGGTCCTGATTGGACTAGTTGTAAGAAAATGTTTACTTCTTAATTGTGTACTCAGTATGGCTTGAAATAAAAACACTACTTAAAAGAAGATTGCTTCCACGGTCTGTGATTGCAGGGAGGTTCTAGCTGTCTTCAGGCTATGCTGAAAAGTTGCATGACTTCTTCAGTATCTCTCAAGATGTCTTTGCTTAGTATTTTAATTTTTATGTTTTAAAATGTAAGTTTAGGGTATGAAAACTCAACCTTTATCAAGTACTGGGGGATAAGAAATTGTGAAGATCTGGAGGATACCTTGGTTTTGTTCAGGTTTCTGGATGACTCTGAAAGTACTTCAGGGTTGATACCTGAATACGCACAGTTTGCACTAAAGGTTATAAATTTGAATGTGAAAATGTTTTTCAAATAGTTTCGTTTAATGTTGCAACAAAATAGTAAGATCCTTATGTTTTTGTCAAGAATACTTCACCTATGTGAAACGGATTAAGGTAGCAAAAGTTTATAACTTTTGAAGTGTTGGTTCCTCACTCAGCGACTGATGCAGACTTCCGTGTTCATTTCTTAGTGTGTAGTGATGTTGGCTAGAGGAATAAGAAAAACTGAAGTAGCTTCATTTGCTTGTAATGTTTTCTTCCAGGTGGCTTCTCAACTGTGTTTCTGGTACGTACCCATGGTGGGATACGGTGTGCACTGAAACGAATGTATGTTAATAATGTGCCGGACCTCAACATATGCAAGAGAGAAATAACAATTATGGTAAGAAGTCCATTATATCTCACTGGAGAATGTATTCATTTGTCATATACGTACACCAAATGTCTCTACAATGGCAATCGCTTCTAGACCACCTTTTTTTTTAGACCTGCCGGTCCTGATTTTGCACTGTTAGTTTCATAAACTAATGCTCAGTTTAGGGTTGGTGTGTAATAAACTTGTAAAGCAATTCTAAAAGTTGTATTTGATACCATAGTCAATTTGGTCAGTACATCTGCTTCCCAACCAAAAGTAATTTCTTCCGATTCTGCAGCAGTAACTTAACTTCTCGAGGCCTCTGTGTGCCACAGCTCTCTTAACTGAACGATGCTGCTGGTGGCTTCCACAGGTCTTGTCATCCTGAGCAGGCACAAGCACGTGCTTGAAGCTGCAGTCCGGTGTTGAGGTAACTGGTGCAAGTGGGGCTGAACTCCCCCTACGTCATCAATTTCTGTTGGTTTTCAGCAGATGACTAGCAAATAAGGAGAAACTAGAAGGTGTAGTCAGGCAAGATTGGGTTTATCGTTACTGGACAGGTTAAAAAATGTAAGGAAAAAAACCTAGTCGCTGGCTGCACAAGAGAATCTATTACATGGCCTTGCAGCAGATACGATGAAGACTATTTATCTCCATCTCCATACGCTTCTAGCTGACACGTGTTCTAATCATAGCAGCACCTATTTAATTATCTGACAGAAGAAGGTACTTTTACGTTAACCTTAAGGTCTCTTATAGGCAGCAACTCTGTTGTAAGATGACAATGTTTGTGTAGTCAGATGTGAAAAAATCATTGCTTAATTCTGCATGTAAAATAGCTCTTAAAAGTTGTTGGGTTTTTTTCTTTTTCCTCAGGGACACCTTCAGTTGTGTGTCTGTAATAACTTTGTATGACTTTGTAATAGTTCAGACTGCAACAGTTGTGGCTTTTTTCTAGTTACCTTTTTAATAACTGTGAGAGACTGTTTTTCAGTTTCGCGTACGATGGGCACGAGTAGCTTGGCTCTTCCCTATCTCCTACATATCACGGCTCTAGCTATTACTACTTCACATCGTTGTTTTGGATTGCAACAGTCTGGATGTGTTTGCACTGGCCAACAAGTAGCACCTCAATGTCCTGTCCTGAGTAGTAATTGCGTTGTGTTTGATATGTTGCAGTCACTCTGACGTTGCTGGCAGCAATGAGCTTACGTTGTGTGTTTGTGGTACTTCCTCAAGAGTAGTGAATGTAGGACAGGGGCTGACTTAACTTGAAATCATAAATGGTTGTCTGAAAACGTGTAGTATCTTTTATTTGTTTAAATTTTTCTGTGCTGAAGTGTAACGTGCATTTTGTTTTTCAGAAAGAGTTATCTGGGCACAAGAATATCGTGAGCTATTTGGACTGCGCTGTTAACTCTATAAGTGACAATGTCTGGGAGGTGCTCATTCTCATGGAGTACTGTCGAGGTGAGAGTCGGCTCCTTGGTTTTCAGAGTAAATGCAGGGAAAATATTTGCATTGATCACCTGGGATTTTTACTTAGACTTGTTCCCTTAATGTAAGAGGTTAACATATATATCTCACAGCTGGGGTCCAATTAGTTCTTTTTGCTAGTCTGTTGGCGTTGTTGCTGTTGAGGCACTGAGCTGTTGAACGCTAAGAAAACGTAAAAGTCAGTGTCACACGGCTTAGTAATTAAGTATGATGAGAAATGGGGAAATTGTTTGTATAAGCATAACGTGAAAATGTTCTATTCTGCTGTTTGTGCTAATCATGTGTAGCTAGAACATAATCTGACCGGAAAGACTGGCAAGCTTTTTACTGCTGTTCTCCCTCTGCTATTTTTGTTTTAGATAACAATAAAGCATCTTCAGTATTGTTACCTGACAGAAAACTTGTTATAAAAGAGCATAGCACACTTAGTTGATAATGTTGGCCAAAAAAAAAAATCCTGTGGTCCTGCTTTATAATGTAACTTTGTTTCAAACAATATGTAAAACCAGTTAGTTTCTATATTATTTTTTTCCCCACCTCACACATGCATTGGAATAAACTTGCCATTGAGTTTAACTTCTGAAGTTAATCTAAAATTTAGGGTAACTAGGCATTGACCCCGTAATACGAGGTGGTGGTTAACCCAAATAGGTGATGATATTAGAACAAGTGCTACAAGTACAAAGTGAATCTTTCTAGACTAGAAAGAAAACCCTCCCTATTATCTGTAATGCTCGAAGAATACTTTCAGTTGAGGTTTACATTGGTTTTACTTGGCAGTAGAAGCAGCAAATGTTACAGCTTGTGCAATCTGTACCATAAGGAGCCAAAGGCAGTCTTGATGTTTGTTGTGGGGAGGGAAATAAGGAGACAACTTTGGGCCCTCTATCCTGATCGTATGGGTGAATTTCTGTACTCTTGTGGGAGCCGGCTCCTGACTCCCTTACTCTTTCCTTAATTATAACGGTAACTGCCAGGTCAATGTCAGCTGTCAGAGGACTTGACAGTGTTACGCTTCTCTCATTCAAAGCATCCTTGTTTCAATGGAATGCTCACCAATACCCTACAGAGGTTGAGTCTTGCTTCATTTTTTAGTGTTAAGTGAACATTGTGGTAGGAAGAGCCTAGTATTATCTGCTAAAATTACTTAAAGAAACAGGGAAATAATGATTCCCGATCTTAGAAAGAAACCTATGAAGACGTTAAGTGAGGCCTTTCTCAAAGGGTGTGTTTAGGGCTCTATTTTTTTCTTTTTTTATTTTCTTTTTCTTGGGTTTTTTTTTTTCCTTCTTTATCTCCCAGAAAGACGAAGAGAGAGGGTGTCTAGAATGTGAATTATATTGAACTGGCTTGGCTGGCAGGGTTTTGGCTATGGATCTAAACGCAAGAGATGCTTTTGAGAGAACATCTTTTTGTGATGGATGCTTCTTTGTTGATGACAATTCGTCCCAAACTTGTTTCAGTCACAGGGATTTATCTTTCATTTGAGACAGTGATTTTTCTGTCTAGGATGATACAAGAGCATGCGTTTGGAAAACTGGGTTTGTTTTATATAAATACAGTGACTGTGGAAATCTTTCTTGCGTCTTATTTGTGGACTATTTGCATATAAATAAGTCTTTACTTCTGTACATGATAGTAATTACTAAAAAAAAAAAAACCCAAAAAACCTCGTTGTTTCTTTAGCTGGGCAAGTTGTGAATCAGATGAATCGGCGTCTGCAGACAGGCTTTACTGAGTCAGAAGTAATGAGAATATTTTGTGATACCTGTGAAGCTGTTGCCCGGTTGCATCAGTGCAAAACACCTATAGTTCACCGGGATCTAAAGGTATGAACTTAATAAAAAGGAACACCTAGGTTAAAATCAATGATCTACTTAAAAAGGATTGAGAATATAGGAGGCATTTCACTACGACTGAGTTCTAGTTAGGGCAGCACTTGCTGTTGTTGGAGCTCTAAACAGAGAGACTAGACAGTAAGACATCAGTTACTGCTAATGCCAAGTTTATTAAGTGGTTTTTCTGAGAACTTTCCTGTTTGTGTGTGAGAACGCGTGGTAGCTGTTAGCTTGGAAATTAATGCTGTTATTTTCATCTAATGTTTCTGTGTGTTGATTTCCTTTGAAGGTGGAGAATATATTGTTAAACGATAGCGGGAACTATGTTCTCTGTGATTTCGGCAGTGCCACTAACAAATACCTTAATCCTCAAAAAGATGGTGTTAACGTGGTTGAAGAAGAAATTAAAAAGTAAGTTCACTTAAGTGGCCTGTTGTAAGCAATGATTGTGTTGCTGGGCAACTCAGTTGTGCAGTGTGCATGTATCTTATTAATACGAGTCGGACTTAACGGTTGAATTGGAACAAACGTTGACATAAATATAGGAAAACAGTGGAACTACTTGGTAACATAGATTTCTTCCATTTATTCGCAGATTGTTTTTGCAAAACTGAGACCCTTAAGAATAAAACTGTTGGAAAAAAGCATGCTGTTTTGAAATTGAATGGTTCAAAAATATATGTCTGGCTACTGGCCATTTCAGGAGTTCGATATTTTGAATTTGTGCTATTTTAATACAGCTAACATTAGGAGAGCAAAAGAACTGATGTAAATAAACACTGGAATGGTTTTATGTACAGCCCTGTTTATAGAGTAGGGCCCATATTCATTCTCCTAAGACTGATCAGAAAAGTATTTTAACTTTTACTACAGGCATGCTCTTGAAAACATGTATTGGTTTGGTTTTGCCCCTTCAGGCTAACCACTGCAGAGGAATAAATACAGGCTACTTGTTCTCAAATTACCAAGTGATACAGGGCTTGTTGGTTTTTTCTGGTTTTTTTTTTTTCCCCAGCTCAGAAAAATACTTTTGTTACCAGTTTAGTAATTTTTTTGAGATGTTACTTTTTTGAAGTCCCCATTCTGTATGTTTCAGTATGCCATAGGGAATACTCTTGTAGGACTCGTACGTTACATCCTTGAAATGGTGGGTTATTGCGGTATTTAAGCTGAGTGACTCTTGCAAAAGTACATGTGCTGCAGAAATAACATTAAAAGCAAATTTCAGCTGACTTAATGCTTAGTCTTGTGTATGATAATTTTATGTTGCTACTCCAAATATTCTCTGTGTTGCAGCAAATGCAGTAAATGACTTGCATTAAGACAATTCCAGGCGCGTATCTGAAACTTGGGTGTGAATGGCGTGTGCATGGCAGATGCAGGAAAAGATGCTTCAAGTTCTGAGGCCTGCTTTTCATCTATGTCCTCTTTTAATTATATACTGCTAGGTATACAACGCTATCGTACCGAGCTCCCGAAATGATCAATCTTTATGGAGGAAAACCAATTACTACCAAGGCAGATATCTGGGTAAGCAAAAAATCAGGTACTACGAAATATGGAACTAATTAAGATGTGTCGGGGGGGGAGTTAAAAGCAGCACTGACTGAGAAACTGATTCTTTGAAAGTGAACTGTATCATGCAGCTATAACAATGCAGAGGGTAGTAGAGGTATCTTTGGTAGTTATGTCTTCTGTAAATAAAATGCATGCTTTGTGTGATGATCATTTTGTGTTGAGGGACATGATGTGTAATTTTTTTCCTTTTTGTCAGCTCAGGTGGCTGCTTGATAGTCACCAGTGACTTCTCGTGGAAACCTGTTGGTAGCATGATAAGGATAGGTGGTTGTAATAGGTGATGTGCAATGAAGTAAATAAATTTAGCGGAAACGCTAGTGGTATCTCTGGGTGATGTGACAATGTGAATGCAGCTCTCGGGGTATGCTCTGATTTTGGTAGTTCGTTGTCGAACATGGGAGTCGGTGGGAAAGAAGGCGTTTTTAGAGCTGCTTTATCTATCGGCTTGTCACATCAACAGTCGTAATGCAGCTTCTACATGACAGTCTAAGCATCGGCTGTAGCTGGGATGCAATTTGTTTCTTGTTGGTGCTGCTTTATTGTGTAAGAGGCTTGCTCTCATCCCTTTACAGTGCCTGTATTTGTTTTTTACAGGCACTTGGCTGCTTGCTGTATAAACTTTGTTTCTTTTCACTTCCCTTTGGAGAAAGTCAAGTTGCTATTTGCGATGGAAGCTTTACCATTCCGGACAATTCCCGATACTCTCATAGTATACACTGTTTGATAAGTAAGTATCTGGGCAGCACACCAGTTCTTTTGCCTTGTAAATCAAATAAAACACAGAAGATCCCGCTAATGTAGGCGGGTGACTTGGATGGGTGGTGCAGACTGGCTGGGTTTTTGAGTGAACCGTGGGAGTTGCTCTTGGCTACCACCTGTCTTGGAACTCCTGCACTTGCCCTATCCCTTTGCTTATCCCTTTGCTCAACGGAGGACTGTGCCGCAGGCTGCAGAGCTGAGGTGCTGGCCTGGAGGGGAATTTTAGAAACACAGAGGTATCTTCTTTGAAATGGTGCTGCAGGCGAGCCAGGTGAATGAAAAACAAACAAGTCGTCCTCCTGGATGGCTGACAAGTTAAAATGAGCTACTGTATTCTGGGCATGTAATGGATGAGTTGATGATAACTTCAGAATTGAAACAGAATGAAACAGTGCGAAGACCTGCCAGATGAGATTGTACCTCTCGGCTCGGGAGAGCTTTGTTGGAGTTAAAGGAACTTTTTGGTTTCTTTGGGAGGCGTGGATGATTTTTCTTTTTTCCTTAGGTGGCCATAAACCACAAAGGGATAAGGGGAATGGAAAGAATAGCTCTTAATTGATTCATAGTTTATTTTTGCTCTTAAGTGTGTATTTTCTGTGGAATGTCAGACCGATAACAGTAATTTTTTTTATCCAAGTTGGACAGTTGTGCTTAGATGAATTTCAAGTGCAAGTTTAGAACCATAAAAGTACTGAGATGAATTGCACTGTGGGGAATTTTATAGTAGTTTCGTGGTTTATAACAGAACAAAAAATCTGATAAAGTTTGTGCAACCCAAATTGTCAGACATGAACTCTGAAAGCACAAAGAGTATGGAGGAACCTTTTGGGCAGCAAGCTCTGAGGCTAGCGATTAGTCTATTATCCAAATACAGAGATACAGGTTCTAATATTTGTAGTAATAATGAGTATTTTCTCTTGGATTTGTTTTCAAGCAGGTTAACTCAAAAGACTGCAACTGACAGAATCTGAAAAATTCAGAAAGTTTAAGTAGGAGCTCTTAAAATTTATTTTGAAGTTATGAATGTGTTGATCACATAGTTTATGCTTCTATGTAATACGAAATACAAAATCCAAACCACTTGTTTGAGCACACATTCATAATTGAGAAATAGCAGTTACCACGGTAAGCGTTTACCTTGTGCAAGTACTTAGTAACTGACAAAATGAGATTGATTTTCAAGTGATTAAATACTGTTCTCTGTGTCACAGTGCTACTTTTAGAAGAGTACAGGTTTTAATCCTGTCTCCTTAAAAGTATGAATGCTGATTTATTAAGACTTGATGAACTGCTGTGCCAAGATGAGCATTACTGGCATGGAATATATGTGGGTGGGGAAGAATGTCATAATGCAAATGTCCCTTCTTTCCATTTGGAATGGAAGCCAAAAAAAGCTGCAGTTGGTCATAAAAGGTACTTCAGGGACTTTTGGCTTCATCTCAGCTCTTTTACGAGGTGTGTGGGGTAGGAAACGACAAGCTGAACATTCTCCACCTGATAAATCTGATATTTCAGAATCAAGTGGTAGGAGTCACTTTGTAAGTGTTCTGTTTCCACTTAATGGTGCTGTCACTGTTAATTTAAATCTGCCTTATTTTGTAAAACCCATTAAAAAGTAAAACTTGATGTGAACTGTATTGGCCATGAAATAATGGCTTTGAGTAGAACTGTAAGATCTGTCTAGAGGGACATCAGAAATTCTGTGTCTTGTAAGGAAAAAGTCCTTTTTGTCCATGGAACTCTCTCTCTCTATATATTTTTAATATACTAAAGTGTGCCTAGCCAACTAAAGCTGCAAGAGAAAAAATGATGTAGAACCATAGCCTGATGCAGTTAGATGTTATATCTGAATCTTCTGTTAGCTACACCGAATTTTGTATTAAGCCTAGAAAATTCTAGTACTATGAGTTGGTTTTATGTTGTTTCTCTCTGAAGTTACTAATTACTCAATCACTTTAGCTACCCTTTCTACGACCGAGTGTCAGAGTATCAAACAGCATACATCTTCTCCGGTTATAGTTGACCCTAGAAACTATTTGACTTGACAAAAAGTATTAAAAAAAACCCAAACCCAAACAACAACATAACAATAAAAATGACTGTTTCTGGGGTAAGATCATTTTGCAGAGCTGCTGAATTTCTGGCTGGTAGCATGCTGTCTCAACAGGCTTTTTGATATCCAACAGTGATAACTTGGTCTTATCAATTTTTGCAGGATATATGCTTGAACCTGATCAAGAACGAAGACCTGATATCTTTCAAGTATCTTACTTTGCCTTTAAACTTGCCAAAAAAGATTGTCCAGTGTCTAATATTAATGTAAGTAGTCTTTAATTTTTTCCTTGTTTTTACTGTATTTTGTAGGTAGCATTGAGAAAAGTCTGTCAAATCTGCTGAGAGAGATTATTTCAGTTTCTTCATGAACCTTGTGCCTAAATTTAAAACACAGAGCAGAGTACACTTCAAATTGCTATTGCATACATGCAATATTAGCTCATAATAAAGATCATCTTGTTCACAGATCTAGTTACTGTGCAATGGAATTTGAGGGCACATCAGTAATGTTCAGTATTATAAAGTGATTCTCAAGATAGGTGTCAGGAAAAATCCATCTCAAAATTGATTTTGGAATAAATATCAAGTATAGTGAACTCTGCCTTCAGAGGCAGATGAGTGAACTTACTGAGATACCTTGGAATTCCTTTATCCTTGGTCCTTACAGCAGAAGGCAGTCAGTAAATGTGAGTGGTGCTTTTTGGAAACTTAGGTAAAAAAAAAAATTAAAAAAAATCAGAAAACGTTGTAGGGCTTACTGTTTGTAGGTAAAGGCTAAACTTCAAGTGGCTTGAATGGTTTTGCATTATGCAGTTGTAGCCTGTGATTAGGAGGTGCAATAACTGCTTCCCATCGAATGCTTTTTCTTTCTATATGAGCAAGTATATAACTTTAGCTTGACATAACATAATTTGGGAATTTACTATGTTACTCATTGGAGGAGTAGTATCGCCTCGCTCGGGTGACTCGAATATGTCTGGGTTTGGATTTTTTAATTTTTCCCCTGCAGATAGGAAATGCCTGCTTACTTGGCCCTTTGCCCCGTGACAGACATAGAAAAGTAACGATGCCTGGAGTATTCTTACAAAGTGAAGCTGGTTTGTGTGTGTGTTTTGTCCCCTGGAGTGTTAAAACAGCAGTAAGAGCAGCAGTCTGTGCCCTGTTGCTGTTCATTTTCTCTGGCGGTGCTTGCCCCTCTGGCACGCACATCTGCCTTAAAAGAGAAGCGGCACAAAAATGTGCACGTGGACACCCCTGACCCTCCCCCTCGAAGTTTTGTGAGGATGTAAGAATGCCTAGAATCATAGAATTGTTTAGGTTGGAAAAGACCTTTAAGATCATCCAGCCCAACCATTAACCTACACTACCAAGTCCACTCTAAACCAGTCAAGGGTAGACTAGACCGAACCATGTCCCCAAGTGCCACCTCTGCCCGTTTTTTTGAACACCTCCAGGGATGGGGACTCCCCCACCTCTCTGGGCAGCCTGTTCCAATGCTTGACCACCCTTTCCGTGAAGAATTTTTTCCAAATATCCAATCTAATTGGATATTTAGATATTGGACTGTTGCAGGCTAGAAGAGAGGCTGGCTGAGTGCAGTATACTGTCTTTGACAGCAGCTTGTTTTTTCAAGGGAAAGTTGGAAGTATGCCTCTGTCTTTCCTAGACTCTTGGCCAATTCCAGTACTGATGGTAGTCTTCAGAAGCAGTATTTGATAATTGGTAACTCTGTCTCGACTGTTTGGGACCAGATTTAGATTTGCGTTCTTGACTGTACGTAAGGAGGTAGTGCATGAGTAGAGATCATCTTCCCCCTCCCTCCCCCAAAATTGCCATTTTCCTTGGTTAAATGTGGTTTAGGTGAAAAGTAATTAATTCGGAAATCTGCCTGAGATAGGGGTAAGTTAAAGGACCGTAGAAGGTTAGATGCTGCGTGGTTTTGTGGAACTTGTGTTGGGGTGGAAGAGCTGAGTGGACTAAAAAACTATTCTTGTTTCATTCAAAGGTTAGGCGTTGTTTTAGCTCTTGAACTTGAGGCTAAACTAAGTCTCTCTTCTGTGCAGTTACAAGAAAACATTTGGAGAAAATGTTTTCCTGTTTTGTTGGTAGTGTGTAAATGAAGTGAAGTAGTTGACAAAACGGTCAGACCAGTAATGTTTTTGTTTTGCTTTTGCAACAGATGAGAGAACATAGAGATACTGTTAAATTAAAACACTTTTAATCTACAGCCATGTGAGTGAGTTCTGCATGAAGCCTTGTAACATGAAAAACTTGAACCCAAATATTCCTCTTCAATAAGTAATGATTTTTTTCTTTCAGGATTTCGTTTTTTTAATTTATTCAAATTTATTTTTCCCAAGAATTCTCCTGTCCCTTCAACTCTTCCTGAACCCATGACAGCTAGTGAGGCAGCTGCTAGAAAAAGCCAAATAAAAGCAAGGTGAGCAGCGGATGTGGCTTTTTTTTTTTTGCTAATATTGTTAAGCAACATGTTTGTCTGAAACGTGTTTTCATATGCTTGTCAATAAATGGAAAAATAATTTTAGCAGCAGAGGTCATTAGAATAGATAAACTGCAATTCTGAGAGCTTCAAGTCTCTCTGGATTCCACTCTACTGCTTGTTTTCCATGTATTGAGAATCCACAGAGAGAAACGGAGATCCTGTTTTGTGGTGGAATAATAAGTGCTAGCAGTCTGTTTCTGATCTGCTATATTTTCTCCTAGTGTGATGAGTGAATTTGGAAATAAAAGATTTTAGTGGCAGGTGAGGATAATAAGGTACAGGTGAACTGTTCTTAGGAGGTTTTTTTTTAAATGTGCAAATCAAATCTGATTGATTGAAGCTAAGTGGATTTTGTTCTTTCAAAAAATCCCATTTTTATACCAAAATATTCCCTTTTTTGGTGCTTGTTAATAAAAATAAAACCAAAACCTCAGGAATTCCCATTCATGCTTTTTACTTCTGCTGTGGTGTATGATGTATGCTTAATTCTAATGCTGGAAGAATCTTTACACTTTTATTCCTGGAAGTTGTTTGGGTATTGAATCTACCAACATGTGTGACTTTGGTACTTTTATATTCAGCTATAATTATCAGCTCTGTTTGAACTCCGACTTCATTAGCCTATTGTGATTGAAAAGCAAATGAATGGACTCGTCTGAGCCACGTTTGAGCTATGTAGATACGTCTGTGCCATTTTGAGGTAGTGTCACGGTCTGGATGTGGTTGGTTTTGCTGGCTCTGCTATCAGTTGGTAACGTGCAGTGGAGGGCAGGCGTAGAGTATTTACGGAATAATGTTTCAAACTCCAGCTAAATCTGCTAGACAATAGTAGGAGGATTCATAGTTCTTCTGAAATAATGTTTTCCTGATGGCCTTAAGTTACAGCAGGTTAAGGCAGATGGTGTCTTGATATGGTATGGTAGGAACTAATGCGAGGTGTTTAGGTGCTGGAGCTCAGATGGTGAATCAGTGTTTTTAAGCAGTTGGACAGTTTTAAAAATGCCCATACTATACCCTGATAACAGGATAAAAGCTCAAATGTACTTTGGTTGTGAACGTCTTTATTATCCTGGCAGACTATTATACAGCTCTGAAGTATTGCAGGGAAGATGCAAATATTTTGAGCAGTTTATGGGTGTTGTAACTGCTAGAGGCTAAATCTATAACAGAAAGTAAAAACGAGTTGACTTAACAGATAAGAGACTTCGTAATCTTATTTCCTGTTTGCATGAACAGTAATCATATCTCTAGTCGTAGGATTGCTGACTCAAGCGCTGCACATAAGTTTCACTCGCTACTGTGAACTGAGGAAAGCTTATACAGAGAAATTTCGTCTAGTGCCATCATCTCCTTGGGGAAAAGGCCGTTGCATAGCTCCTTCTTAATGGTGTTCTGTGGCCGTCATATATCCTATGGCTGCAATGGGTGGCGAGTAGAATTTTGGGAAACAAATTTTAGTGTATTAAAATCCAATTTAGAAGTAGAGCAGCACATGGTTAAGATATAATTGAGATATTAAGAGATACCGTGTGTCTAATTTGAAGAAGAAACAGTCCTTTTTTTTAATCAAGTGTCCTGTATGGGAAATTTGCCGTTTCAGAATAACAGATACTGTTGGACCAACAGAAACCTCAATTGCACCACGACAAAGACCAAAGGCCAATTCAAGCACTGCCACTTCTAGCGTGCTGACGATCCAGAGCTCAGCAACTCCAGTCAAAGTGCAAGTTCCTGGTGAATTAGGTAATCGTGGGCAAAAAGGTAACTTGACAAAGCTTAAGGATGGACCAAAAAGAATGAAGAATGAATTCTGTATTTCTTTTCCTTCTTACTCCAGTAGGGATAACATTTAAAGCTCAAATTGATCTGCTTTTTTTACATGCTGAAACCCAAATTTTCATCCTTTCTGAAAGACTCTAAACGTGCAAATACTAAGTTTGACCAGGTGCCACAAAAACTAAATGCAAATTGTTCACAAATGAAGGTATTTTTTTCATTGTGCTTAACACTGACTTTGAACTAACTTTCCTGCTGCAGACTGTGAGAGAAGTTCATGCTTGGTTTTGACTTAGAAATAATTCACTAAAAGTAGTGACCTCTTCTGTAACAAACTGCTTGCATTGTAGTAGGAAAAATGTTTTCCCTGTGCCTCAATAAGCCATGAGATATCAACAATATGTTGGTATTATTTGTAGGCTGGAATGGTGTAGAGACTTCTCTAATAATAGACGGATGCATTTCACATCGCACTGTGGGTACAATAGAGGGGCAACAGGGGAGGAGTTGAGGGAGACTCAGTTGAGTGAAATAGGTTTTCAATAAATCACTTGTGAATTTTTCTTTATCTCATTCAAAAAGAGTTATGGATCTGATAAATATTCGCTTAAATAGTTTTCATTTACATGTTGAATACTTTCCTAGCTGCACTTTGTGGTGTTAGGTGTCTATTGCAGTACAGGAAGAGTAGCTTCAGGGACGGTCTTGGGAAAGCCCCCAGTCAGAAGGCCACTGAGAGTGTTTGTGTCCTGGGTGTAAATAACTTTTACTAGACAGGATCCCAATAACATCCAACTTGGAAAGCTTTTCTTGTTATGACAAGGAACAGATCATTCCTGGGCACTTCAGAATATAAATACAGCATGCAAGAGAGATCAATTTATATTAGTAACTGATTAGTTAAAAGGCTGCAAAAACAGTTGAATGGTGAAATTAGTCAGGTGTTCTGTTTAAGGGAATTGACAAGTGAGCCAATAGTTTCCTTAAAGAAAAAAAAAATTCCATGCGTCGTATGCACGTGTTATTGTATGCTTTGAGGGTTAGGGATTGAGGTACTAGAAGGTCCAACTTAAGTGTTCGTAAAGCAGAAGTCTTGAACCCAGCTTGCTCTGTCGTGAGATCAAGGGAAAAGCTTCCTGCATCTTAGTACAAACTGTCCATTGACAGGCCTGAAAGTATTTTCAAAGAAGTGAACTTAGTATCTACCAGCCGTACTAGTTGTCAGGCTGGGAAGGGAAGTTTATAAACTGTTTCACCTTGAAGAGTTAAATGAAGATGTTAACTGCCAGGGAGCTCTCTAGCTAAAGTTCAGAGATCAGTATGTCAGTAGCGTTGTCTGAATATTACAGGAACCATGCGCCCAGGGAACGGGCAAGAAGTCTTACAGTCCCAAGGGACCAACCAGCACCCCCCGCAGCAGAACAGAGTTCTCCAGCAGCTGCAGCAGGGCGACTGGAGACTACAGCAGCTACACCATTTACGTCACCAGCAGCAGCAACCTACTGTTCAGGATGCTTATTTTCAGCATGTACGGCTCAAATCTGTTAGACAAGTTTGACACACACATTATACTTGCTAATAACACTTGGAATTATGTGCTAGTTAAATGTTTCTGCTGTTGCTGCCTGGTTTTTTTCCTCCTAGGTGAGAAAGAAAGGGGTCATGGCTCCTGCCCCTTCTTTTTACCTTTGATTTATCTTTTCGTAGGCACTGGAATGCTTGTCCTAGAAAGTTGCTTTTTTTTTTGTGCTGTCTTGTTTTTGCAGTTTGAGCCTGAATCCCAGCTTGCTTTGAATGGTCACGATGTGGCCCATATAACAGTGTTGTGTATGTGTAAACGTGCTTGGGATAAATGTTAGGAATTATCTAGGTGACAATGCTACGCTTGCGGTAGAAGGTTGTACATACACCATTTTGCAGTTCTTGCTTTCTCAAATTTCTCTTGGTCAGTGAAGAGCTTCCTTCTTGTTGTTCTGTCTGCCCAGATTTTTCACAGATAACACACATTCTAAGGCTGTCCAGCTTGCATACTGTCAAGTATAATTGCTCAAGTTGCGTACCATAAATAACTGTAAACATAACAGAAGAGTGGCTAGGTCAGGCAAGAACTGTCAGATCCTGTCCAAGACACCTATTGCTATTCCTCTTCCTGCTCCCCACCTCTCGCCCTGTTGAGACGTGTTATTCTTCAAAGCACAGCTGATTTATTTTCAAAAGGGGCTCAGCACTGGTGAAAGTTGCAGAAGGGGGCGGGGGGTGCTTCATGACTTCTTAAAACTATTTTCTTCTTTTCAACTATAGTATCAACAAGCAATGCACCAGCAGATGGTCCAACAGCAGCTGTTGATGCAGTCTGTGTACCAGCAGCAACCTTCCCAATCTCAGTATCCTGCTATGGTATGTCGAGGATGAAATGTAGATGATACAATCTTAAAATATGTGCTGTGTTTGTAAGCTATTGTGAAGATGTAGTAAGGAGAAGTTTGAGAGTAGTTGTAATGAGCTGTGGATGTGGTAAATAGTGTGAAGTTCAGCATCTAAAACAATACTCAGTTAGGGGGAAAAAAGTTAATCCAAACTCATGTGCAAAAGCTTATCTGGAGTTGCACTTCTGTATTAATGGGATGGGATATATCCTAAACTTGATTAAGTAGGTATCTCCTAATTTGAATCATACTTGGTGCTTAAAGGTTTCCAGGAGTGAGCACAGCAATAAATGTATGTTATCCTACAAAGTGACAGAAGACATGGTGGCATCAAATTCCTACTTTAAAAGCAAGAGAGTTAACTGGTGTGATCTATTTCTCACAAGTCAGGAGAATTTGTCCTGGAATACTGATTATTAATACTTGAGAATAGGGTATGATGAAAACTAAGTTCTTAGTGCTGCAGTAGCATATGCTTAGGTTGTGATAATTACAAAAAGTTAGGCGGTAATGTGTTGGAAGAGAAAAACGGTATCACGGACCTGTTAGGGCAGTTTCTTTTCACCTGTATAATGGCCCAGTCTGGCTTCTTGGTTCTACTGAAGCTACCAAGCTTGTTTGGAGCGTGGTGGTGGTTAGTGCATTTGGCTGCAAGGCTGGCATTGTTACTTAGCAGAAGAGATTTGCACTGGCCCATGTGAATTTTCGTAACATGGTCATTATCTTACTTAGGTGCAGCAATATCAGCAGGCTCTCCTACAGCAGCAGATGCTTGCTCAGCAGCAACAGCGGTCGCAACAGGCGCAGTCTCCTGAATATATCACTTCTCCACAAGACTTCTCACCAGCCTTAATATCCTACCCTGGGTCACTTCCAGTGCATGCTGGTACAGTGGCAGATTCTCCCTACCCTGCAAGCAGGCAAGTATTCTGACATAGATGTACCCAAAGGTTACTTATTGCTTACATTCCTCATTGTGATGAGCACTGCTGAATTGTTTCATCACAAATTACTTGCTTCAATAGTAAGCTATTACTTAAAGTAGTTGGATAATTGCTGTCTAGTGGTAAAGGGTATTTTGTGAGGAAAGTGGAACACTTAACCTGTTAACAGATGAGCCTGGTACACCTTCTTAAAGAACCTGTCTGGCACTTTTTCTTGTTCGTGGACTTACTCCAGGAACTGACTGCTAACCGCTTTGCTTAGGATGGTCGGTAGCCTATGTTGAATGAGGCTGTGGGCATGTGAAAGTCCTCTCAAACGCATTTGTCCTGGTTTCGGCTGGGATAGAGTTAATTTTCTT